ATTCATTTTCTTGGAGATCTCACCTAGTCTTATGGTTTTAAATACATCAAAATATTAATAATTCCAAAATTTTTATTTACAGCCAAAACTTTTCTTCTGAACTTTCGATACAAATACTCACTGCTTAGTCACCTTAAACTTGGATAGTTAATGGGCATCTTAAATCCAACATGTCAAAATAAGCTGATCTTCAACCTGATTTTCCTATTTATGCTATTCTCTTTATAGCTTTCCCCTCTCCTTTTCTTGCAAATCTATCTTGCCCAGGCCAAAATCCTTTGGGTTGTTTTTGATTTCTCACTTCCTCTCACATCCCACATCACACCCCATGCTGATTTGGAAATGTCTTTGATACAGCATAGATTAATATCTCTTTCAGGCAGTTTAGTCTGAGGTGAAAGGTATTCCATTTATATGCAAGGGCTGGATGTTGACATTTTCTCATACACAAAAAAGGAACCTTGAAAAGAATTTTCTCCAAAAGCCTAAAAAATGTAAATAATACATTGCCATAAAACCCAAATAAGGTAGATAAGATACTTATAACGAATTATAGATCTCACTTCTATAAAATAATGAGACTCCTCAAAGTCTTTTCGTCTACAAACTCCCATCCCTGGGAATTTTGCTCTGTACTTTCTTATGAGTGTACCATAAATGCTAATGGAATGAATGAATTTCTAGTTTCCAAAGTAATTACCTGGTGCTGCAAACATCCCTTCAAGAGTTACAAATGTGGGTCAGAGGAACAGGAAATATCATTTAACTCTTCCAGCCACTTGGCCACTCTGATCTAGAGGCACCATAAATGATTTGCAGTGCTGCTATAGATGGAAAAAGAAAGCCTGGAACAGCATTCGCTCTGCTGAACGATTCCAATGCTTCTGAAATGTGACATTTTGCTGTTGTTTTCCTCTTACTGTTTTTAATTACCGGGTCTATTTGCATGAAATGAGGATCTGGGTTGCCTAGGAGTTCATCTGTTCCCATTGCATATTCCTGTCTTAAATGAGCTTACTTCAATGTAGTTTAGCTTGCTGCCTCCAGCATTTTGACAGGACCTCCTTGTCCTCTTATTCACTGTCCTCCAAGTCACTCTGTAGGAGAGAGTTTATTTTTAAAGTACATAATCAATAGGCGCTGGGAAGCGGCCAAAGCATGAAGGGATCATGTGGTTGGAAATAAACTACTAGGATTGCTGAGAGGAGGGATGGCAAGAGGCCATGCCAAACATTGTCTGAGAAGGGAAAGACAGTCTTAGCTCCCATTTAAGGGCTCTCAGTGTCTTTGCCCAGGCTTTTTGTCTTGGAGGTTTTATTTTAGCTTGGTTTTTAGCATCACTATATTTTAGCATCACTATATTTTAGCATCACTTTGAGTTGCAATAGATACAGACCAGCATTACAGTTGTTTTTCAGGCCAAATAATAGCCCATTAAAATCAAGTTTGGCCCTAGCTAGTTTGGCTCAGTGGATAGAGCATCAGCCTGTGGACTGAAAGGTCCTGGGTTCCCTTTTGGTCAAGGGCACATGCCCTGGTTGCAAGCTCGATCCCCAGTAGGGGGCGTGCAGGAAGCAGCTGATCAATGATTCTCTCCCATTGATGTTTCTATCTCTCTCTCCCTCTCCCTTCCTCTCTGAAATCAATAAAAATATATTTTAAAGAATCAAATTTGGTCTGAGGTTCACAATGGAGTCTTAAATATCCTGGTCATAGTGCTACAGTGTATATCCTATCTAATAAGTAGGGAATATGCAAATTGACCACCACACTGCCACAAAATATGGTGGCACCCAGCAGAGGCAGGGTTTCTGTAACACAAGATGGCTGCAACCACAGTGGAGGCCAAATTTCTGAAATGAGCCTTAATGAGCAATCAAAGGGACCTAAGGCTGTATGGCACTGGGCCAGGGCAGGGGACTGCCTGGTGGGGCTTGACAGGGGACCTGAGGCTGTGCCTCCCAACCCAGAGGGACTTAAAGGGGACCTCAAGTTACATCCCCCACCCTGGTGCTGGGCCAGGGGACGTCAGGCTGCTCCCCCTGCCTTGGGCCAGGGGAATCTCAGGTCATGACCCTCACCCTGGCTCCAGAGGCCCTGAGGCTGTGTCCACCACATGGTGGGGCTTGACGGGGGAATTGCAGACTATGCCCCCCACCTGGTGGGACTTATTGGGGATCTCAGACTGTGTCTCATGCCCAATGGGGCTTGACAGAGGACCTCAAGGCGCACTCCCTGCCTGGCGCTGGGCCAGGAGACATGAAGTTGTGCCCCCTACCCAAGAGGGGCTTGATAGAGACCTGAAGCTGCACCCCCTTGCGGTGCACAGAGGCTGAGTCCTCCTGCCTGGCAGGGCTTGACAAGGGTGGGGCCATCTGGGTCTGGGTCTTGTGCAATTTTGAGGTGCCACAGGTAGATGGAGACTTGACTCTGGGTCCCGTGGCATGCCCCAGACTCTGATAGGAGGAAGACTTTCATATACATTTTACTAATTTTCTTTCATCTCTGACACTTCTATTACAGAGAAAGGGCAAATAGCCATATTAAAATATTTCCTCTAATTAATACCCCTTTAATGTGCATGAATTTTGTGCACCTGTCCCCACTATATATATATATATATATATATATATATATATATATATATATATATATGATTTCAGAGAGGAAGGGAGAAAGGGAGTGGGAGAGAGAGAGAGAGATAGAAACATCAATGATGAGTGAGAATCATTGATAGGCTGCCTCATGCATGCCCCACAGTGGGGATCAAGCCTGTAACCCAGGCATGTGCCCTGACTGAGAATTGAACTATAACTTCCAGGTTCATAGGTAAATGTGCAACCACTGAGCCAAGCCATCTGGGCCATAGAGCTGCAGTTTAGTTCTCAATTCTGATGATGCCTTTTCTGATCCTTTTGTTGTTGTTGTTAATCCTTATCCGAGGATATTTCTCCATTGTTTTTCTAAAGAGTGGAAGGGAGCAGGAGAGACACACACAGAGAGAAAAACATCAATGGGAGAGAGACACATAAATTGTTTGCCTCACGCACATGACCCAACCAGTGTCTCATGTACCAACTGAGACACTCTGTTAGAAAGTCACTCAGAGGAGGGGAGGGGCTATGTCTGCAATATTCCCCATTACATGGCTCAGAAACCATGGCTCTTTTTTAGTTCTTTACTTGCAGCCACCAGGATGTCTCCTCTAATGGGTTTTTAGGTTTCATTTAATGGTCGTCTATGACTATCCTTCTCGTACTGAAAAGATGACCTATGTTCCAGCCCTGTTTTTTCTCTCTCGTATCATCAGAGGAAAGGGCTTTGTTGCTCTTCTCTTTGGCTTGGGATATTTCATTCTGGGACTTTTATTTAATATATGACCCTTCCTAAAGATTTTCTTACATTTTTGTTCATTTAGGTGTTGTTTTTTTCTATTTCATTGAATTAACAGTATTTAATCATGTCTAGTGGGTTGATTATCATAAATCAGCACAATATTTAGTGTGAATTTTTGCTTTAGTGGGTTGTAGAATAGATTGTGTGGCAGCCTTTGCTATGTGTCCTTAGCTGTTTCTGTATTATACACACTGACCAGACCCTGCTCCAAGGCTTATCTTATCGCATTATAATGCCTTCCTAGGGAATTCTCCCTTTGACTGAAGAAGCTTGGAGGAGGTGGCATTAATTGCAAATGAAAGACCATGGCCTATTGTTGAATATAGAATATCTTCTTAGCCGTGTCTGCCTTCCCTGTTGCAAACTCTCAGTGATGACTTAAAGATCTTTGTGTACATGCAACTACAGCCGGTGACAGAAGGCATATGTCCACTCAGAACAAAAGAACACTTATTTTCACACTGCATGGCTGACATGGAGTGATAACATTTTTGCATATTCTAAAAATTTTTATGCAGATGCCTTTTAAAGGCAAAGAGTGCTTTTACAATAATCTTCTTTGTGAATGGAATTTAGACTCTTGGCATGTGCTGCCTGTTCAATATGCCTGTTAAGTTCTGAATAATAAGCTGTGACAGTGTGTGAGCAGAAACAAAACCAGAGGTTATTTCCCATGCTCACAGCAACATTGTCATCTTTGATTTTTTTTAAACTTATACTCATCCACCTTAAATAAAAATATGATAAAATCAATATTTTATAAGCAAATTACTAGACCAAGATTCCAAGGAAATAGACTGCTGTAATATTTACCATGCCAAGTCACAGAGCTTTGCTTGTCTCTGGTTGACTAAACTTGAAATGAACGAGCAATAGTTAACAAGGAAAAAAAAATCTTCCAATTAATATATTTTCCCATATGACTTTATATTAAAATTTTTATGAAATCTTTATATGCCTTTATACAAATGGAGCAAAACTGAAAACAAGGCACTTTTTAAGTATGGGGTGAGAGATAAACAGAATAAATATTCTTTGACTTAAAAAGAGCTGTAATATCACTTATCTTCCCATTGTCAAGGTAAATCATATATTAGAAAATTAGGCTGTATCTATATAATACTTACAGAAACTATGAAATAGGAAATATTAGCCTTTAAGCATTTTTTGAAAGGCTCTTGACATTGGTTAGCTAGTTATAATGAAATATTCTCTGTTTTAATAAGCTAATTTGGTTATAATAACCAAATTGTGCATGTGGATATAGCTTTAATAAAAATTTAATTTTCATAGAAAATAATTCAACAAACCCAAGTCTAATTATTGCAATACAGAATTTATTTTGGTTGAAGCTATTTTAAATTGATCTGACAGGCTTATAATTGATGTTTTGCAAATGCTCGAAGGCAATGAAGCAGAAAAGTCTTTATTCAACACTGTATAAGGAGCTGTAGCTGTGGATTTTTAATAAACAGTGCTCATTTGGACAATTTTACTGAAAATGTTTTTATTAACTTTATTATGAAAATAATAACAGTGAAAAACAGTGACTGACAATTGTACCATCACTTAAAGATTCACTATGTTTTTTCTTTCTTTAACAGTACAAATCCAAGTGGAGGAAAATGAAGATGATACCGAGGAAAGTTCAAGTAAGTGGGGAGGGACGCACTTGAGATAAATTTCCTGTGGAAAAGCAGCATTCAGGGCATTCACCTTCTTATTTTACCATGCTACCACATGTAAGCACAGAAACATGTGTGGCTCACTTTTTTGATGATCTCACAAAAGAGATCAAGTCCAGCAAATAGAATCTCTACTCCATATTCCATTCCCTTGGCCCGTGCGCGCGCACCCCCCCCCCCCCCCCCCCCCCCCCCGGCCCCACACACACACACACCACCCAGTTTGTAAGTTACTCATGTTCAAGTAAGTTAGTTGGTAGTCCAGAAAACTTGCTTTTTTATTTCTCTACTCTTTTTCCCTGTTAAAGTCTTTGTCCTCAAATCTTTTTTCTTAGGTTGAGCCTATTACAATGAAACAGATTGGCCATGTTGACTGGACTGAGCAGGTGATTCAATTAAAATGAATCAGCAAGTTCTTTTGTAATTTGTCCAAATTGCTCCGTTGTTTTTACTTTGTGTAGGTTCAGCTCAAGAGCCTGGATTGAAACCCCTTTCCAGGCATGCAGATCACTCATGGGCTAGAACATGAGAAAAATCATTATGTGAGCAAAAGCTTCAAATTTACCATAACTGACAGGAAAAGCTGCATCTAGAGAATCGTTCAATTAGATGATACATCAACTATGAATTTAATAACCTGAGTTCAATATGGCCACCAGTGAATGTTCACAATGCCATTTGTTTTTAATAATTTATGAAAACAGCCCAGACTCTCATGCACATCCTGGATACCATGGTTTGAATACTGTAGGGGTGGGGAAATACTTTTTCCCTCTACCTTTCTGAATTTTTAGCTGAGAATCCTGTAATATAAGACAGTTTAACAAGAGAAAATAAAACCACACAAACAAGTTTATTAACACGTATAGTTCATATATAAGGTAATACCTAGGAAAAAAATAAGTAAACTTAAGAGAGAATAAATGATTTTTAGGAAAGATGAATGGGCCCTTTGAAGAATACATGGGAAGTATGATAGTTTGTGACAAAGTTTGCCAGAATATGGTATCTAGTTCTAATCTTCTGTCCTTGGATGTGTCAACCTTCCCTGGGGATGAAACTCCTCAGAAGAGGATTTATGATAATTGAATTCCTGTTGGAGGCTGTGTCCTTAGGCAGATAAGGGAGTTCTAAGAAAGACTCTTCCTGAATTTGCTGTTTTAAAAGTGTCTACTGCCCAAAGTAATCACCGTAACAAGATGGCATATTTTGGGGTAGTACATCTTAAACTCCAATAGTCATACTTTGAAGTGGCATATTCTGCTACCCTTTAAATACTGAATTGCAACCATTCCAAAAGGTAACATTATATGTAAATCTGCATTTAGTAGGTAACTGCAAACATTAATAATTTTAGAATTTGAATATTTGGAAATTAGTTAAAGCACTAAAGACTGCCTTTTGTTCTTAAGTGGTAAAAGATAAATCTAATGATATACTTTTCATCCATGGTAAAACTCTGCAAGTTTAATAGTTTACCTTTAATACAAAATATACTAAAATGTAGAGTATTAAGTGGCTGCTTGGATTCTTGAGTTATTTGTGGGTGAAATTGTTTCTCAATCCCTGTCAAGCTTTGTCCTTTCTATAATCAGTGACTAATGTGCCTAATAAAGGCTTAGTAAATTTTCAGAATGGCAGAATGCACAGATAACTTATGGCATTTGTCACAATATTTAACCACTGGAAAATCACGTTTGGTTTTGATAACAAAGTAGTTTTCAAAACCTGGTTTCTATGCTAACCAAACTTTAATAATATAGGCAATGATTTGAAATATCAGTAAAAAAAAGTTTAGTTAACAAATGTTAAAAGATAAAACACATATGCAAAAATGACCATATTTAACTATTAAATGAGCAATCTGATGAGGCATTATTACCAGTTCAAAATCCAAAGAATAGACATAATTTTAGACCAGGAATATTGAAATGATGTGCAAATGAAGACATGACTGTTTTGTGGGTTGTTTTTTATTTTTACTTATTTCTCTTTTGGTGGAGGATGATTATTTGTCTATTAAACAGAGTTTTTTGTGTGTCTGCATACACTAATTATTTTGCATTACTATCCAGTTATCTATAATTTACTGAATTACAAAGCAGTTCCCAAAAATCTGAATCAGATATCACAGAAGGCTATGTTGCAGACAATTTATAATTTTCCATTGAAGTATAAATTTTTTCCTACTGTAGCTTTTAAATAATGGGGTATTAATAAGTATGGGTAATATTTAATTTTTATAGTAATTGGTTCTAAATATCAGAAGTTAAGAATATCAAATTTTACAAAGATGTAAGTGAAGTAGAATTATATGTTATAAAATGTGAAGGAAGGAACTGAATTCTCTTTCTACTCTTTACCTGAAAGTTTCCTAAGTAATTAAAGACAAATGGGGCATTGTTAATTGACAAAAAAAAAGTAATAACATCATTTCTTTTAGGTTTACATTGAATTTGTATTTATAAGTTATGTCTCTTCATTAGGATTGAATGATCAAGCAAATGTATTTATCAGTTTATCCATTTCATTTGAAAAAGGTATATTTAGGAAAAAAGAAAGAAATATTTGGAATCAAGAATGAGGATAATTTAAATTAAGAGAAATCTCAAGGGCTAAGTTAATGTCTTCAAAATTATTCTAGTTTGTAGCCTTTCCTTGTCATTTCTATGCTTTGTTCTAAGATAGAAGTAGTAGTACACACATAGTGGTTAATCAATCAACCCTATGTATTGGATTGGTAACCTCTAAACTTGGTTTAAAGGTCATATGGTGATATTAAACTCCAAGTCATTGTTACCCAAGAAAATGAAGACTGGAATTCTAAAGATTATTAAAATTTGTAGCTTCACATTCTATTTTTGAGTAGATGAACCACAAAAGAAATGATAGTTTAGGTAAATGTATGTATATGGTATGTATATTTTTGAGTAGATGAACCACAAAAGAAATGATAGTTTAGGTAAATGTATGTATATGAAATAAAAAAAAAAAGAAAAAAAAATATATATATAGCATAGTATATCCTGATATGGAGAACTGTTGGATTGTGGTGTCATCTCTGTGACAGTGTAATTAAAAAAGAATGCAATTGGTGTAGCAGGAAAGAACACTTCCTGATATTTCTCACTGAAGCATCAACTGGTGTGTTTAGGTGAAGAGGAATCAGAGGATGAAGATAAATTACCTCGAAGAGAGAGCATGAGACCTAAGAGGAAACGGACCAGAGATGTTATTAAAGAGGAAGATCTACCAGCTGAACCAGAAGATGAAGAAACAAGGAAGGCCAGAGAAAAAGAGAGAAAGAAGAAGTTGAGGAGGGGAGCGTAAGTTAGTTCTGATATTTAACTGAAGTTGTTGCTCATTCAAAAGCACCTGATGCTAAAAGAAGACCATTTCCTTTAGGAACTCTTTGGCTTTAAAATTGGTAATTAAAACGACCTTTAGAAAGACAGGCTTAATCTGATACTGCCATTTTATTGCATTTATTTAAATGTATTTTAATATTAAAATAGAATTCATAAATCAATGTATATTAAAAATGGCCTAAGAGGAATTCCCTTATGAGAGATCTAATCTGACATAGTTATTAACATATAATTAATTTAAATGTATTAAATAGGTCCCATTGATTATATGCGTTATTATTGAAGTAAAAAAGTCCTAAGCAATGAGCCCCAATCATTTTATTTTATGGAGCAGGAATTGGAAAACTATGGTTAATTCTAGCCCAAGATCTAACAATAGTTCTTATTATTTTAATAAAAAAAATGACTAATATGGAACAGAGCTGTATGTAGCACTCTAAACCTAAAATATTAACTATCTGTCCCTTTACAGAAAAAAAAAAAAAAAGTGTACAGCCACTGCTACAGAGGATTGGGGTGGTCATTTCCTTTTAATACACTATTTATTTTTTAGTTCCACCAGGCCAACAATTTATTGAGTGCTGACTTTGTGTAGAATAATATATTAAATGATGTTTAGGGAAAATCCAAGAAAATAATTTTCTGGTCTTTGCTTTCCAGAAATTTGTAGGTAGCAGACAGGTTGGAAAACTGTGTGTGTAAACAAATCTAATAATAGAAATCCTAGATCCCTTGGAAAGGCTTTAAGAGAATAGCCAACCTATTCTTGCCAATCCCAGGTAATAGGACCACGAATCACTACCAGGCGAGCAGATCTCCTCCCAAACACTCCTAGGACTAAATGATGAGGAACTTTCTAAGATGGCCTTTCAAGATAACACACTCTAGTGTTCAGTGAGTAGCTATTATTTTCCTCCTATAAGTAACCACAATGAAAAACAACTGTATGAAAATTATGTCAGGTTGAGAAGCTTAATATTAATAGAGTGTGGTTCCCTTTAAAATAAAAGAGAAACCTTTGTTTATTATATTTTTATTAATATATGTTTTTAAATTTCCCTCTTTTTTTTCTCCTCCTCTCATTCCTTCTCTTTCTTTTCTTTCTCCTTCTTCCCAGACTCCTTCTCTTTCTTCTTTCTTTCATAACCCAGACACCACCTACTTTAAGTTTTGACTCTGGCATTTAAAAATGTATTTCTATTGATTTTTAGAGAGAGAGGAAGTGAAAGGGAAACAGAAAGATAAGCATCAATATGAGAGCGGAACATCGATTGGCTGCCTCCTGCACACCCCCTACCAGGGATCGAACCCCCAACTGAGGCATGTACTCTGACTGAGAATCGAACCAGCAACCTCGTGCTACATGGGACAATGCCCAACCACCAGCCACACCAGCCAGGACTGGCTGGCATTTTTTGTGTTTTCTTTTAAACTATGTCTATGCTTTGTTCCTTTTAAAAATAAAAAGTATATACTTTACATTCCATGTCTTAATACTTATTTTTAGTAATATTTTCTATTAGTAAAGCTTATATATCTGACACTAGTATTTCACTGAGAAAACATCACCAGTACATATGCATGACATAGGTTGTATTCTAGAATTTGCCTTTGCTCTCTACTTATGAGAGGTCCTTTTAGAAAAGTGAGTTGGGTGGGGATTTCTCTGCTTTCTCAGTTTGCTTAAGGCACTCATGTCAACTGCTCAACCTCTAGGCTTAGGACCATAAGAAGCAGCCAGGTCTTGGCCCCTGTTGCTTGAGGGAATCTTGTTCCTTTGACAGTGTCCATCCTTAGTTGGTTCTCAGAAACCTACCCCTGCCTCCCTACCTACCCACTCCTCCGCAGGGCCATACTTGGCTAAAATGAACTTTGTCTTCATAGGTTTTGCCAGTTATAATATTGTTGTCAAAATTTGTGCAACTATTTTGAATAGTATCATAAATTATTTGTGATGATCACTAGTTCTGATATCTGTTTAAAGGTCCATTTTCTATTGTTCATTTTGAAGACAACTATTATTTAAAAAAGAAAATGTGTTAGCAAATATATTTTGAGAAAGATTGATTAGTAGGCAAATCAGAGCACATTTATTTAATTAATTCATGCTCTTTTAAAATTTAAATGTTCAAGTGAATCTCCTTAGGGAATTTCCTTGTTGCTGACCAAACATTTGAAACCAACTAAAACCAAGGTTATAGTGCTATCTTTGGAGATGTTTAAAAAAACACTGCCCTGTTAGACATTTTAAAATATTTCTAATAATATTACAGGTTATTCCTGACTTAGTTTTAAATGAATAAGTAATATATTCATAGCAGTGAGAAATTCAGCATTTATGCCTCCTTTTTCCTAACAACTGTTGTTTAAATCAAACTTAAGATAGAAAGCTATGCTTGCATAAATTAGCCCTAAATTTTAGAAGATGAAGCATGTTTGTGCTATATTCTTTTAATATGATTAGCACTTTTTTGAGTGGTTCCTAGAAAAGCAGTCTCCTTGTAATACTGATGAATAATATTTTAATTGCTGGTTAATAAAATTTTAATAATATGTGAAGATAGCTCATCCAACAGCTATACCTTGCAGCATAGCATGATTCACCTGTAGCCGTCAGTCATTAACAATACAAACTTGAAAAATGTACCAATCTGGGATTAATTAATGTAGGAATAGATGTCTTTCCATACCATACTAAAATACATTGTTATAGTTCAGTAAACTTTAAGCACTGGGTTAATAATGATAACACATCATCCCCCCAAAAATTCTGTATATAAACATATTCAATAAATATTTATCTAGCTCCACTTCTGTGGAAGATAATTTGCTCGTCTTTGGAATACATGGATATGAACATGCAATTGCCTACATTCTCTAGAAGTTTATACTATAAATAAGGGAGAGGCCATGTAGACTCAAAGTATTATGGAACAAGACAGTATACATGTGCCACAGAAGAAGTATAAGGAGGTTTAGGAGGTTAAGGAGGTTTAGGAGAAGAAGTATAAGGAGGTTTAGAAGAGAAAACTGTTTTCATAGGGATAATCAGAAAAGGGGTTATTGAAAATATTTATTATGATTTTATTCGAGTGTTATTTTATAGTTCTCTTGAGTCAGGATAACTATTCTAAGCAAAAATATCTGAATTGGCCAAAAACCTAATTGTCAACAGCAAGTGCTATTTGGGAAGGTTAATATGAAATTTTGTTTTAGTAATCATGATATGATTAAACCTATGGGTTAGTGAGAAGAGAGGAGATTACAAAGTCATTTTATAGGGTCACTCATAAATTTACTAGAGGCCCAGGGCACAACATTCATGCATTTGGGGGGAGGGGCATCCCTCAGTCCAGCCTGCACCCTCTCACAGTCCGGGACCCTCCGGATATGTCCGACTTGCAATCCAGGACCCCTCAGGGTATTTCCGACTCCCAGGAGTGGGCCTAAACCAGCAGTCAGCCATTTCCCAAGGGGTCCTTAGCACTTCCACAGAGACAGGAGAGTCTCCCGCCACCGCTGTTATGCTCGCCAGCCATGAGCCTGCCTTCTGGCTGAGCAGTGCTCCCCCTGTGTGAGTGCATTAACCACCAGGGGGCAGTTCCTGTGTTGAGCGTCTTCCCCCTGGTGGTCAGTGTGTGTGTCAAAGGGACTGGTCATTCCACCATTTGGTCAATTTGCATATTAGAGTTTTATTATATAGGATGGGTATGTTCTCATGTTTCTCAGCTGGAAGTTTCAAAAACAGCTTTTGCCATATTCCTACTGTGTTTAGTCATAAAGCTTAATGAGCAGCAAAATATATTTCTGACTAACTCTGAGTCAGAAGCCAATGTCTTTGTGAGGGTCTGTTTTGTAGAAAAAAATTTCAAGTTAATTGAACCAAGAGCACTTAACAGAGGGACTGCTTGATAAATAATAAATAATTGTTAACTAGGTTACTAGAAAAGTGAAAAGAGATCACTAACATATCATGGTGATAGCACCTTTAGGAAATAGCTACCACCTAAGGGCAAGGCTAGAGCAACAATGAAAAGAGCTTGAAATTAAAACCGAGAAGCATGGAGAAGGAATCTACAGAGCTATCAGCCACTGCAGAGGGGACATGCTCAAGTGATAAAGCTCAATCTGCTAATGTTGGAAACACTGGCCAACTAGAGTCCCGTGCAGCTGTGGGAGAAGCTTTGATAAGTAGAAGGCATCACCTCCGAGGAACAAACAGAAAACTAAAGGAAAGACCAAGTTCCTTCTTAGTATTAACCTATTGGTAACCTAGTACTGAGCCAGCTGACAAAGCAGAAATGTGCTTAGATTTCCAGGCCCAGCATTGCAGTATTAAGTACAAAAAAGGTGAGTTTGAAGAAACAGTATTACCAAAAAAATTGATCTCTACAATATGGCATTACATTCCTCCATTTAAAATTATGTTGCTCATGTTTTCATTTCATTTTCTTCGAGTTCTGGACCCTAGAATATTCTAGCAAAACAAGAAACACAGAAAAGAAAAGAAATATCTCCTTTGCTCAGTAAAAAACTAAATTCCCTCCAAGGCCTCTTAAAAGGACTCACTTCCACAAAATATAATTCACATTGAATTTTTATCAATTGAAATTTTGAGCTTAATTACAAGATTAAGTGAGCTTTGAGGAACAATTTTTTTTTTTTTTTCTATTTCAACTTTTCTCTTTCTCTTGAGTCAAAGCTAACTTAAAAATTAAGGGCACTTCAAAGACATCTTCATCTCTAATTTACTATCCTTACTGAGAAATAAAGTTTAAAAATGAAATGTGGAATTCGTAGGGACAGTGTATAAGGAACAAAAATGAGAGAAAATAATCTGAGTGATAGATCTGTAACTATTCTGAGAGTTTGAGTCTGTGGATTATTTATATCAGAACAGCTTAGTTGCTGGCCATCAGAATGTAAATGCTGTTCTTTAAAATTATGGAAATTCCAGAAATCCTGAATCTGTGTTCAGGGGCAAGCCCCAATGCTTATGGATATCAGCAGCCACTATATACAGCCAAGTCGATAAATGGCTGAGTTTTTGATACCATTTTTCTTTAAGTTTGGAAGTCAAGTAAGACATAAATTTATTAAGTTTTTTTTTTTCCTTTTAAAGGGATGACGATGATGAACTTGATGAAGCGGAATTGGAAAGATTGAAGGCAGAGTTAGATGAGCAAAGACAAATGATTGCTAATGTCAAATGCAAGCCTTGGAAAATGGAGAAGAAAATTGAAGTTCTCAAGTAGGATGCTGCTTTTTATAATTAGAAGTGCTGTCTTTGATATTGGTCTCCTAAATCCTCTGTGTATTACCTATATTTAACATATAATGCTATATATGCTATATCACATATATAATACTTATAATATACATATAATACTCATTGCATGTAATGATCATGGTCATACATACATGTATAATATATTATATATATCATATCACTAGAGAGGTTGGGCTAATAACTACAAACTTAAAACTATAAGCAAATTTATTGTTTGGATTCTTATCATGCTTGTGATCACCTTTGATTGTTTATTCAGTATACTAAGAGTTTCCTTAGTTTAATACATTCATTACTATCCTCTGAAAAAGATATATTTGAACTTTACAAGTTTGTGTAGATTACACACTCTTGTTTCTTTACAGAGTACCAGCCTCATGTGATATTTTAGATGATAGCTTTCTTTAAAATACAGAGAGGATGGTAAGCCAACAGCACAGGAAATAAGATTCTACTTAAGGACTATGTTAATGACTAGTCCCTGGTTACCTGACTGTGACCCGATTTCACTCTTATATTGGGTACTGATGAGGGGCAAATGTACTCAGAGACACACAGATTTAAGAACTTCTGATATTAAAAGTCAAATGCTTATCCTTTTCTGGAGGATGGAAGTGAATCCACCCCTGAGGATCATACTATGCTCCCTTGCCATGGTGGTAGGTGGGAGGGAGGGGGGGAGGGGTTAAAAAAGGGAATGTGTCTATGATAACAGTTATATTTGCACAACAAAAGTTCCTGTAACAGATTGCATTTTTTTTCATTTAACCATTTTAAAAAATAGTGATGTATTTCCATAGCTATCCCTCCATAAGCCTATTAAACTTACAATGTTAAATGTTATTTTATACTAGAGGCCCGGTGCATGAAATTTGTGCACTGGGAGGGAAGGGCCCCTCAGCCCAGCCTGCACCCTCTCCAATCTGGGATCCCTCAGGGGATGTTTGCCGGTCTAAACCAGCAGTCAGATATCCCTCTCACAATTCAGGACTCCTGGCTCCCAACCACTCGCCTGCCTGCCAGCCTGATCACTACCCTCTAACCACTATCCTGCCAGCCTGATTGACACATAACTGCTCCCCTGCTGGCCTGATTTTTCCCAACTGCCCTCCTGTGCCAGCCCGGTTGCTCCTAACTGCCCTTCCCTACTGCCCTGGTCACCCCTAACTGCCCTCCCTTGCCAGCCATCTTGTGGCAGCCATCTTTGACCACATGGGGGCAGCCATCTTCTATGTTGGAGTGATGGTTAATTTGCATATTATTATTTTATTAGACAGGATATTTAGTGAAAGTGATAGTATTATTGTCCCTGGTGATGAAAAGAGAATGAAGTAGCTGGCATGATAACTCATTTCTACTCTTGCCTCTGAAAAGTTTGTATATTATTTAAGGAAATTGCTTAAACTTCTGGGGCCTCACTTCAAATTCAGAATAAGATAGTGTAGATTTACCCTGTGAGGAGGGGACCTAATCATCATTTATAATGGTATTGTTTTGTGTTGTGGACTAAGGTTTTCCAAGTGTCAAACAATGGTTTTCCCAGCACACTTTGCATCACACAATTGCTGCTGCAAAGTCCTGCATGTGCGCATGTACATGCCAGCCACACAAGAAGGCAAAAGCAAGTGGCATTCCTAGCTCCACGAGCTACAAATGCATGTGCATGTGCCCTTGTGTGTGTTAAAAGTTTTCATTCACTGAAGTGGCAATGATGCTAAGTGATAGGTTTAAAAATATATTTACTTGGCAAAATAGAAAGTTGGCAGCCTTATGTTGACTCCCAAAATATATTTTGAAATATTATTGGCCTTGAAATCCCTAAACCTGAGAACCATAGGGGACTATAAATAGAAAGTCACGCTATTGGAAAGCGATAATATTGTGACCTTTCAAAGCATGGTATGCAATTGCGTAAGAATGCCACAGAGCATCTCTTCCCTTTACACCTGTTGGAGGTCTAGAAATCCATCTCCCACACCCTCTGTCACGTGAGGCAGTGGCACATACATTGGCTTCAGACTTAAGCTTGAATATCAGCTCTTTCACTTAATAGCTGTGCAATTTTAAATGAATTATGTAGTTCTTATGATTCCTTATGAAATTACATGAATTTTGAGGGTTATTGGACTCATTAAGTGAGATAATTTATGTAAAACACTTACCACAGTGCCAGAACAGAGTATGTACTAGTAGCTGGGAAATACCCTAACTCTAACCCTCCAGTCCGAAGCTGGCAGTCTAACCACTGAGCAAAACTAGTCAGGGCGGGAGAAGCCACTTAAAAAATATTTATTTGGATAACAAAAATGTGTGTGTGTGTGTAAATATATATATATATATATATATATATATATATATATATATATATATATATAAATAAAATTAATTTCAGAGAGGAAGGGAGAGAGAGATAGAAACATTAATGATGAGAGAGAATTATTGATTGGCCACCTTCTGCACACCCACACTGGGTATTGAGCCTGCATGTGCCCTTGACTAAAATCAAGCCTGGGAGCCTTCAGTCCACAGGCCAATGCTCTATCCATTGAGCCAAACTGGCTAGGCCCAAAAATGTTTATTTAACCATAATACTGACTGCTTTAATTTTTGACCCAGTATTTCTAGAAGCTGCCCATTGGCTGACTAGGCCTGGTGATTTATTAATGAAATACCCAGTGAAGCCAAGAAAGTTACTTTTAGGATTTTATTTCCATTCAAATGGGTGCTTGAAACTGTCAGCTAGTCATTAATATAACATCCTTCCTTACTCAACCTCCCTTCATCCTCCCATTCTTATATATATTTTAATTTATCCTCTCTGAGCTTTGTTTTCTTTATGTGAAAGAATAATACCTTGAAGGATAGTTGCAAGTGATAAATGAAATTATGATAGTTAATAAAAAAGGCTAACATTTATAAAATGATTAGTATGCACCAGGTACCATTCTCATTGCTTTAGGTTTATGAACTGATTTAATCCTTTCTATAACTCTGAGAAGTACTTCTATTATCTCAATTATAGGTCAGGAATACTCAAGGATGCCGAGGTTAAGAAACTTGCCCAAGGTCATGGCATAGGCTTGATACCTACCCTGTTTCCCCGAAAATAAGACAGTGTTTTACATTAATTTTTTCTCCCAAAGTTGCGCTAGGTCTTATTTTCAGGGGATGTCTTATCTTTCCATGCGGTAGGTCTTATTTTCGGAGGATGTCTTATTTTCGGGGAAACACGGTAGTAGGCACTTGTCAAACAGTAGGTAAATGGATGCCCATGTTTCATTTTGATCTACAGAATTCAAATACATGGATTGCCTTAGACTCTTCATTCTTATGGGTTTAACTCAGATGTTTGATGACTAGACCTGTCCTGCCTATAAGAGGTGGCCACACCAAACAGGTAACAGCCACCGCCGGTGAAATGCAACACCTTGGTGGAAAATAACAGCTCTACTTATTACTCATCCTGAAACCTAAAACTCTCACTGTATCAGAACATTCTGGGTTGTAGATTAAAAACCCCCATGACTAAACCTAAATAAAGTAACTACTTTATTTTGTTTTAGTAGAATAGCAATAGGATTTGGATTGAAAATTAAGGAGACATGGACTTTGATCTAATGAGCCTGGGCTTATTTATTTATAAAATGAAGGGGTCGGACTGTGACTTAACGTTTTCAAACAGCTGTCCTCAGAGTTCCAGTGGTTTCATCCCAAGGGAGGCAGAGGGAAGAGGGCTGCTCAGTCACAATGCCAACTTCAAGCAGGAGACGTGAGGTTTCTCTCTTCTCCACAATGTACTTCCATATAAAGCATTCATCTGAAATAAAAATGCTTCTGTGCCTAGTCACATAAAAAAAAACAAAAAAACACAGTTTTTAAAAAAGCAACACTTAACGAGATATTTAAAGAAGCTTATCTGGGGGAAGGAGCAGTTCTCACATTTTGTAAGTCTACACATTAGGGTACATTCCAAGTATAATATTGTATGGAACTGGCTGTAGCATAAAAGCCATTTTATTTTTTTTAAACCTCACCCCCAGGTCACCTTGTCCATTACTTTTCAGAGTAAAAGGGAAGAAGAAAGAGGATGGGGAGGAGAGAAAGAGAAAAACATCGACATGAGAGAGACACATTGATCAGTTGCCTCCCTCAAGCGCCTAACTCTAACCCTAACCCTACCAGGAATTCTCCTTCTTTATTTATGTCATGATTTACTTAATATTTCTTATCTATACTGCACCATTTTACCTGGAGATGTTCTATTCTTCACTTTGAATTGGCAGCCTTTTCTGGGGGCCCACCGGCTTCATCTCTTTCGAAAAGTTGTTAAGGAATTTATGATGCTTGCACCAACCTCAGAATCTAAAGCACACAGCCTTGTTAAATCAGCCTGACATTCTGCCCAGGAAGTTGGTATAATGATACTGGAAAAACTGATCTAAAAATGCTAATATTGAGAGTAATTTTCCAAGAAACTTGGCAATCAGTCTTATTCACTACTTTCTACAAACATATATTCATCCAGAATTCAAACACCCCCAAATTAAAATAAATTTTAATTTTTTAAATATAATTTAATTTAAAATAAATTTAATATAATTTAATTAAATCAGGGATTTTTCTATAGTAGTATACTGCATAATTATCATAATTAAGAAAAGATTAGACTTAGGAAAATTCTAAAGTTTTTTTCCAGATAGATGAAGTGTGGTTACTATTATCTTAATTTCATTTTATTGTACTTTATTTTCTAGGGTCTTATCATTTAGTGTGATATTATATATATGGTAACACACACTGCATCAGTTTTTTACAGCTTGCTAGGGAACTCTACCCTCCAATTTTTTTATAGCAATTAACCTAACTTGCACTCTTTAACATTTCAGTTGTCTATAAATATATTATTCTTGAAGGGTGATTAAATGGAGAAATTCATTAATTATCACTTAAAATTATTTAGG